CATTGGGGTTGAAAATTAAGACTATAAAATCAAACTTATGGTAAAGTATTTTGGGTTGATGATTTAGAGCCCAGTGACAACTAGCAACGACGGCCGTTTTGCAAATTGTTTATAAACAACCTTGCCCTACTGGCCATCGAAAGCACGAAAGCTCACTCTCCTTCACCAGCCCTACTCATTCCAACTCCTAGCTAAATCTTGGAGCTATCAATGCCAGACCCCACCGCCACCGGCTCCCATAGAAGACGTACCAACAACAAGCAGAGCTACAATTTATGCGATCTCAGCAAAAATAACGACAACAACTAAAGCAACGACCAATATTGCGAAATCGGTGCCAACGGCTTCATCGCCAACTGCAATGGCAACAAAAACCGTAAGCTACGATAAGCTACAAGTGGTTCCGGCCATACAGACCGGTATGGATCGCTACTTCCAGATTAAGTGTAAGCTTAGTCCGCAAAACACGGTTGGTAATAAACCAAAGATCAACCGTACAATCCAAACCAAAGAAAAAACCAGGATTTCCAACAACAGCAACCGATTTTCCCTCTTAGCAGATGGCGAGAGCCAAGCTGAGCCGGATCAAGCGACCAAAAAGAAACCAAAGCCCCCACCTATCTACATTAGGCAAAAAAGCTCAAACGCCCTGGTCAACAAAATTGTTGCGCTGGTCGGGGATGAAAATTTTCAGGTTGTTCCGCTTATTAAAGGAAACATCCACGAAACTAAAGTTCAAAGGAAATATGAAGAACACTTCCGAGCTGTGTCCAAATACCTGGAGGAAACAAAAAAGAAGTTTTACACCTACCAACTCAAAAGCAGCAAAGGGAAATCGAACCCGACGTCGCTCCCTCTGAGATACTAGAAGCCCTTAAAGACAAGGGATTCTCAGCTAAGAATTTTAGCAACATTATTAACAAAAATAAAAAGCCGCAACCACTCTTTAAGGTCGAGCTCGAGCCCGATAGCAAAACCCTAAAGAAAAATTAAGTGCACCCGATCTACAAGCTGCAGTACTTACTGCACAGGAGGATCACAGTGGAAGAACCACACAAACGGAACGGTCCAGTGCAATGCACATATTGTTTGAGTTTGGGCACAGCAGGACATACTGCACACTTCGGTCAGTCTATGTAATCTGCGGAGACTTCCACAATTCCGCACACTGCCCTGCTAACAAAGACGATCCCCATACAAAAAAATGTGGGACCTGCGGAGGAAACCATACGGCATACTACAGAGGCTGTTTGGTATACAAGGAGCTGAAGAGTATTTTAAATATTTTAAATCAAAAACTACCCCAGACGTATTTTTCGCTAAGGCAGCCAGATCATCTTTCGGTCCGCTCAGTACCACCAACGGCATCTCCTACGCTGATGCTCTACGAACGGGCATGGAAAAACCACTTCAGCCACACTCAGAAAACGCTCAAACGCTCAACAGGTACCAGCCCAGCCGCAAAGCAATTTGGAAACTATGATGTTTACCATGCAACAAAGGATGATGGAGTTCATGTCATTTATGAAAGCGACCATGCAAACGCTGGTCCAGAACCAGAATATGGTGATGGAGCTGCTTGTATCACAGCAGTCCAAATAATAAATGACCAATCTACGCTTATCCATGTGGAATGCCAACGGCATTTCACGGCATAAACTGGAAATAACACAATTCCTGAATGTTAATCACATCGACGCCATGTTGCTGGTTGAAACCCACCTCATAAGCAAGTATAACTTCCATATACGGGGTTATACCTTCTACCGCACAGATCATCCCGATGGTAAAGCCCACGGCGGCATCGGCATCTTAATTAGAGAACGCATCAAACACCATTTTTACCAAAGGTTTACAACAAATTGCAAGCCACGTCCATAAAAGTGCAGTCGGGAAACAACAACCTTTGCATCGCGGCTGTCTACTGCCCACCTCGCTTTACAATCTCTGAAGGTCAATTCATGGATTTCTACAACTCACTAGGGGATCGCTTAATACCTGCTGAAGATTACAACGCCAAGCATACGCACTGGGGATCACGCCTCGTTACTCCCAAGGGAAGGCGACTTTATAATGCACTTATAAATGTGAGAAATAAGTTGGACTACGTTTCCCCTGGTAGCCCCACATACTGGCCAGTAGATCCCAGATCTAATTGACTTTGCGGCGACAAAAAACATCCCACGCAACCTAATAAGCGCCAAGGCCCTACAGGATCTCTCATCAGACCACTCTCGATTGTTGATAACCCTTCTTCAAAACCCAGAAATTACGGACCACCCCTACAGGCTGACGTCGCACAGAACTGACTGGATGAAATACAGGAAGTACCTCAGTTCCCACATTAAGCTAACCACCCAGCTCAATATTGAAGCGGACATCGATTGCTCTACCGCCGCCCTGGAAGAGGTACTCGTCACAGCAGCCAGGATCTCAACACCACAACGACATGATGTACAAATAAAGAAGTTCAAAACCAACCTGCAAATTGAACAGCTCGTTCTGGAAAAGAGGCGACTGCGACGTGCGTGGCAAACCAGCAGATCGCCATGCTCAAAGCAACGTCTAAATGAAGCCACACGCAAACTAAATCGGGCTCTGAAGCAAGATGCCAAGAATGCACAACTGAGATGTATTGAGAAACTCTTTCCAACTAGTGCAAAGCATCCCTTGTGGAGGGCTCACCTAAACCTAAGCTCTACGGTTGAATCCGTCTCCCGGGTAAGAAATTCTTCAGGTGGCTGGGCGCGCAGCGACACAGACAGAGCCGAAACATTTGCTTCACTTCTCAGGGGCGTCTTCCAGCCGAATCCCGCTGCAAATCCTTTTGTTCTACCGCAATTCCAAACTGGAAGCGAATCTACAATAACACCGTTTCGACCGAACGAGATCACCAAAGTCATCCGGGGGCTAAAACCGAAAAAAGGTTTCTGGCGGTGACCAAATAACTCTAAAAATGATAATTGAACTTCCAAACTGTGCTATTGAGGTAATCTGTAAACTCTTCAATGGGATTATAAGTCTTGGCTACTACCCAAAAAAATGGAAAAAGTCAATAATTATAATGATACCGAAGCCCGGAAAAGATCACACGATTCCGTCCTCTTACAGACCAAGAAGTCAAAAACATGGAACTATCGAGCAAGTAAACAGAATAATAGCATCCGAGATTCGCACAGCTTTCGATTATAGAGAATACTGCAGCGCGATATTCCTCGACGTATCTTAAGCATTCGACCGCGTCTGGCTCAACGGTCTCATGCATAAAATCAAAACACACTTTCCCGGGTACACTCATAAATTACTCGAGTCGTATCTCTACAACAGAGACTTCGCAGTGAGGTGCAACTCAGCAACAAAATCGAAGCTGGAGTCCCACAAGGAAGCGCACTTGGACCAACTCTATTCGTCCTTTACACAGCGGATATTCCCACTAGCGACAGACTAGTAACATCCACCTTCGCTGACGATACTGCGATCCTCAGCCGCCCCAGATGCCCAGTCCGTGCAACATCCCAATTAGCCAATCACCTCACGGTAGTAGAGAAGTGGCTGTCCGACTGGCGTATCAAAATAAACGAACAGAAGTGTAAACACGTAACGTTTACTCTCAACAGACAAACTTGATCTCCGATCTACTTGAATAGCACACAAATCCCCCAAGTCAACGAAGTAACGTATCTCGGCGTCCACCTCGACAGACGTCTAAGATGGCGTAGACACATCGAATGCAAGAAACTACATCTAAAACTAAAAGCCAGCAGCCTCCACTGCATTATAAACACCCGATCGCCCATGTATCTGGACTACAAGGTACTGCTCTACAACTCCACTCTTAAACCAATCTGGACGTATGGCTCCCAGCTCTCGGGGAACGCGAGTATAAGCTCGCGTTATACCTGAGAACTATCTCTGGGGCACCATGGTATATTCGAAACGAAAACATCCACAGGGACCTTGGCATTCTCGCAGTAAAAGATGAAATAGAGAAGCAAAAAGCGTCATACAAGAAAAAACTCCTAGACCACCCAAATCCTCTCGCAAGGGATCTGGCTCGGGTTTCCAGAAGAACCCGCCTACAACGTAACGACCTTCCAACCCAGCCGTAATTTGTCAGGGCCATTTTTACTGTTCCAGTCTATATGACTGATAGTTAGGTTATAGTATAAGATTTGATACACTTATTGTTAGTCTCGTAAGGAGAAGATTCAATAAACAAAGCAAAGCAATATAAAAAAAAAAATTGTGTTCCGGTTTAATGAATTTGGGCCAATGGGCTGGACTTGGCATGGGTTTCAATATCACTTTGGAGTGCTTTTGTATAACTGGGGGAATATTACAATTGTTCAAAGAGAAACAAATATTTATTTAATAGAAGCTGGGAGTATTTATGTTCTCCGTTCTCAACCTTTTAATTTTTCTTCACCAAGTTTTTTTTTTTTGTTTACTTATGCGAGTGACTGCTTCGTTTCTGGTCTTTCACATTTGTTTTCCAAACGTTGTTTGACTGCGCGCGTGATTGCCTCGGGATTGCGAAGGGAATGAAATTATATTTTGTTATTGAAAAATTTCATTTACATAAATTTTTGGAGAGTGGGATTTGACTCCTCAAACGTTATTTGCAGTGTGTATGCTAAACAAAGCGACATAATCCTGCTTAGTTTGAAAGGCTAAGAGCGACTTAACACTATAGCTTTGTCAGATCAGTCGTCCGGTAATTTTAAGATGCTTTCTGTGCAAAAATTCGGGCCCCTTGTGCTAGGGCTGGCTGACTCTGCTTTAATGTTGTCGATATTAGTTGTATGCTCTAACTGCTCTTTTCAATATTTTGTAGCGCACGCTTTAGTGGCAAAGGCCTAAAAACTCACTTTATTTATCCTGTTAAGTGTAAGGAAAAAAGAGACATATAAACTGTTTTACCATTTTCAACCATATGTTTAATAAATGTGAAAGAATAATAGTAAAAAAAGCAGATACAAAACCGGGAATAAAAAACACAAACAGTTTTTTCAGATGCAGATAATTATATTCTGTTGTAGTTTTTACGAACTACATTGTTTTTATAATCAATAACAATAATTTAAAGAATGAAATCTACTCTTCAAAATTTGGTGCTGCGCTCTTTGTTTTTGAATAATCCCTTACAGGTGAGTAAAACTGAAAAGAAAAACATTTCTTATTTAGTGGATTTAGCCTTTTATATCGGCGTAATAATAACGCCATAAAACATGAATATAGGTAAAGGTATTAATTATTAACTTAAGATAACAAGCATCAACAAAAAAGTAAGCTAAGTCGCCACGAACGAATGCTCATACAGTGCACTATGGTTTTCTTCGCTTTTTTTTTTGGCATAAAGTCAATTTTTTTTTTGTTTGTATCTTAAAATTTTTTTTATTTTTAATTTTTAAACACCCTAGACAGATAAAAAAATATGTAATTTTAATATACGGAGCAACACTGTCCTGCTGGCTAGCTGTTAAAGTCAGCTAATTATGTACCACCTGTTTTGTATGAAATTGGCGCGAAGAATTGTGCAACTTTGATCGATTGTTGTGGCAAAAGTTTACGAAAAAGTTAAGTGAATAAATATGGAAAACGATTGTCCAGGTATCCAAAACTAAAGTTTAACAATGTTTGTGTCGTTTTATGTGTTTTTTTTTTTTCAATTGTACCGTGTTTTGTTTATGTGTATTTTTAGAACGAGCTTAACAAATGTAGTTGTGTTTCGTGGATCAGTACTTTTGCATGGCAAAGTGTTGCAAAAAGTTGTAAATTAGAAACTATTAACCAAAGTGTGCAGATTAATGAGAAACTAACCATTTTTGTCCGAATCCACACGTTTTCGAAAAAATCAAAAAAGAAAATTGAGTAACTTCTATAGCAAGTAACATAACCAAACTTATTTAAAATTTTGTAAAAAAAAAAAAAAAGTAAAGATAAACTTTACTTTCAGATTGAAGCACTAATAATGGAGATGAATACTAAAATGATCTTGGATAATTGTTTTTTTTTATTAAATATAATATAAAGAAAATAAGAAATAAAAATGATTAATGGAGCTTTTTTGTATGTCGGCCATATCGATTATATGGCAGCTATATGAAATAGTGCCCCGAATCATTTGAAACTTGGTAGGTCGTCTTGGGAGCTTAAAAAATGTATTCAAACCAAATTTCAATAGGTTTAAAATTAGAGTTTTTGTCAAAAAATCGGAAAAAAAAAACCCATAGTGCAGTGGCTCGCAGCTTATTTCAACCAGCACCTCAAATGGATTTAAAGCCATATGGGTGATTCCATATCCGATTTACAGTCGATATTGGGAAATTCGATGAGATATTTTTTTCATGCTCTTTATCGAAAATAAATCGACACGTATTTTTTTATATGGCTCAGAAAATTTTTTTGACAAATTTATGATTTTTTGAATTTTTGATGAACTGCCCTTTTTTTGATGACAGTCGCGTTTTCCAGCCCCAATAACTCGATAACCGTACGTCGCAGAAAAAAATGTATAGGAAGTAAAAATTTCATCCTTCCTTCTTCTTTGCAAAACTTTCGTGAAATAATTTTTTTAAACAATTTTTCACCACAAAAAGTTCAAATGTTTACAACAAATTTATTTTTCTCCAATTGGGACAATTTTGATTTTTTTTTTTTTAATCACAATAAATCCTTCAAATTCTTCTGATGAACATACTAAAATTTCAGAATGGTATCAAAATTAGTTTTTGAGTTATAGAATTAAATATCATTAAAAATTCATTTCATTGACCCTTACTATGCGCGCGCTAAGCGAATTGACGCTCGTTAGAGCGTATTATAATTTCAGTCAGAAGTTTGCATCGCAGTGAAGGAGGCACCTCAGACCCCATAAAGTATATATATTCTTGATCAGCATTACGATCTGAATCGAAATCCGTCTGTACGTCTGTCTGTTTCTATGTAAACTAGTCTCTCAGTTTTGAAGCTATCGTGCTGAAACTTTCCGAAAAGTTGTGTAGTTATTGCACGCAGTATATAAGTCGGAACGAGCCGGATCGGCCGACTATATCGGATAGCTCCCATACGAGAGATTGAAAAAAAAATTCTCACTCCGTTGTTTTTGATCAGATCGACTTGATTTCTTCCAGATGGCGTTTTCTAACTACTATTGAATTTCGGTTTAAATTTTATCAAAATCGGATAACTCTATCATATAGCTGCCATAGGAGAGATCAAAATGTATATATAGAGTTAATGGAAATTAATTGATAACGTCATTGTTTTTCATCACACGACTATGATTTTTTGAGTATCAAATTTTTTAACTAGCCTTGATTTAAAATAAAATTTCATAGAAATCGGATAACTATATCATATAGCTGCCATAGGAAAAATCGAAAAATCTACATAGAATTAACGGAAATAAAATGATACCATCGTTGTGATAATTTTTGGAATAAACTCTATATTCCTTGCCTTGCTTAACTGTAGTATTTAGATTCTTGCTTTGCAGCTCTGTATTTGACTTACGCTAAACATGGCTGGCTCCATCAGATCCGGAAATATTAAGTTTGGACTCGTCTTCAAAAATAGGGTATTCCAAAAAGCTAAATTTTTGCACAAGTGGTCGTTGGCAAATTTTAGGCGAAAAATCTAAATACTTCATTTAAGCATGGCTGCGGTAGTTTCACGGTATGGGCCTGTATGTCAGTTTTCTAACAAATCTGCTCTAAAAAACGCTATGGTGATAGAGTGAGGAAAAATAGTCCTATTGGGGAGGAAAAGCTGGTGGAATCGATGTCAAAACGGCTTAAAATGTTCATTGACAACAATGGTGGCCAAAACAAGTATTAATTTTTCTTGTTTTTTCATTTAAGTCAGTTAAAAAATATATTTTCCTAGCTGGTTGATATAAGCTGCTGCAGTATTTTTGTTTAAAAATTTGTATTAAATATTTAAAAAATGACAAAAAAAAAAATGTTAACAGAAATGTTAAAGGGGGGGTAAGGTTTTAAAAATTTTTTTTTACATTTTTTTTAATATTTTTTTCTGAATGATCAATATGTCAAGAACATTGTGTACAAATTTTGAGTCAATTAAAGTCAAACTAACGGAGTTACAGCGTTTTAAACAACCGTATTCGGACGTATTTTCACGTATAAAAATACTTTGAATCGATTTTGCCGAAGACGTTATTTTGAAAGTCGGTGAACATCAGAACTCAAAATCTACTGAACCGATCCTTTTCAAATTTTTAACACAAATTCTCAATATAAATACGCAGGTAATCAGGAAGAGTTTTTTTTAATTTTTAATTTTTTTCTATTTTTAAAAAATAAATTAACAGCGATTTTTTAAGCTAAAATCGCACTTTTCACTTTCAAGTGCTCCCAAAAATAGACAAAAAATAAATTTAAAAAAACTCTTCCTGATTACCTCGGGAAATTCATTATCTTTTCAACGCATATCACATTTTATTTTTAAGATGATCCGTTAAAGCCCTATGATGTTCACCGCAAAACAACTTTTTCTTTGGGCGCTTCGGAAGATTAACCGCCACAGGCTTATTTCTTAATATTTTTTAATAATTTTTTTTTTCTAATACTCTTCAAAAGTTAAACAATAACATGTAATTAAGCTCAATAAAATAAACTTACTTATTTCGCCGCAAAAAAAGGTAAAATTGCGCTTTAGCGGCTTTTGCTAAAAATGGTCTAGGAATTTTTTTTTTTTTTTAATGGATACCTTGGGGCCTAAACATTAATAAAAAAGTGGCGGAAAGCTTAAATTTTTATTATTTATGTGTTAAAATTGCAATTATTACTGCCGCGAGGCAACCCGTTTTAAAACATTGCCATGTTTTTCTAGCGAAAAACTTTACCGTTGAGAATGTGTTGTGGATGAAGAGTGCTGCAATTGTGTGAAAATTTAAAAACAAAAGAAATTTAACAATTTTACCATGTCAGGCATTGCCAATTTTACTACTGAACGCTGTGAAGGTTGCGAAATGACTCAGAGTGATTTTATAGTACTGAGTGAATACCCAGAAAAGCTATGGCCAGTTGCTTTTTTGCTATTTTTACAAATAAATACTTAGAAATCAAGCTTTCCGCCACTTTTTTATTAATGTTTAGGCCCCAAGGTATCCATTAAAAAAAAAAAAAAAGTTCCTAGACCATTTTTAGCAAAAGCCGCTAAAGCGCAATTTTACCCAAAAAAAGATCAAACATGGCCCTTTTTTTGGCCGTTAAAACCTTACCCCCCCCTTAAGTTAAAGGCTCACACTACAAATCCCCATTTGAATTTTTATATTAGCTCTCATGGTTTGCTAGATATATGGCTCTAAAGTTTGTTTAAGGTGCTTGTTGAAATAAGCTGCGAGCCACTGTATGTATTTTTATAACTCATTCTCGACGTTATAAGTGGTTTTGTCACTACAAGATAAATGCATAGCTTCATAAAGAATATATGTAACTCCGAGTTGTTTAAAAACAGTCGGTCACCATAAATGTCTTTTACATCGTTACGTTGTAGAAAAATTTACCTTGTATTGTTTGTCTTTGTACTCTTGCCATGGTTCGGGATTTGACGAACGGTTCCAAGTTACATCTGGGTTACGAGTAGCAAGGCGAGCCATATAATAGACCGCTCCAATGGCACCCGCTCCAACACACACATAAAGTGGAATCAACTGTTAAGATATTGGTTATGTAACATACTTAAATCTTAAAATAGGTATATATTATATGTAGAGCTTACAGCTGGATTTTTTTAAGACTTTGAAGTCCAAGACCCTGCATTTTACTTCGAATTTTTAAAAAATAAAACGATTTTAATATGTTTCGGAGTCTAGAGTGTTGACAGAAAAATTACCTAACTTTTCGCGTCGATAACGATGAACAGTGTAGCTGAATATTAAAAAAAAAAAAGACAACTTTTTTGAAAAAAAAAATACTACATATGCTAATGGTAGTTGCGCAGTATTTTGGTGTAAAGTATATTAATAGCTTAGCTACACTTTGTTTAAATAACCAACGTGCTTGCCAGTAGTCCTATTATTTTAAAATAGTGTTTTCACTGTGTTAACATTTATTCGATATACCAGCTGTTAATATCCTTGGTTTTAAAACGGAACCCATCAATATTCTATTCCAATTAGTCCAAAAGCGACTGTGGGCCGCTTATGACCATACAAATTCGCAATAATAATATTAAAATTTATTGTTGGTTGTTTTCAGTGCGCATGGAGAGGTGGTTGGGGTCGGTTGGGAATTACCTTTTGCATTAATACAATACCTAGGTAAATGTGGTATGCCCCCTAAATAAAATTGGAAGATTATACCAACAATTTGAGAAACTGAAAAAAGTTAAAAGGGTATTAATTTTAACATTCTACTCACTAAGTTTGAACTGCAAGGGTTATTAAGATATTGGTTAAGTTGCGCTTTAGCGGCTTTTGCTAAAAATGCGCTAGAAAATTTATTATTTTTTAAAAAATTTGTGGGTGTTAGCGACCTTTCCAATTGAATATTTGGTGTTTTGCCGGCTCAAGGTCTGGGTGATATTTAAAACACAATTTATGTTTTTTGACCAATATATTTCGGTTGCTCATCGGCAACCGTCTTAAGGGCAATTTTGACACGTCTGCGCCAAGTGACGTGGAGTTATAAACTTTTTATAAAAAAGCTACCTTGGGACCTAAAAATTAATAAAATAGTGGCGGAATCTGTGATTTCTAATTATTTTTTTGTAAAAATAGCAAAAAAAAACAACTGGCCATAGCTTTTCTGGATATTCACTCAGTACTATAAAATCACTCTGAGTCATTTCGCAACCTTTACAGCGTTCCAGGGCCGGCGGAAGGTGTATACCGGGTGTTGAGCACTCCACACGCCAAATCTTAGCGGGTAGGGAATTCAACACCCCAAATTGCTTGACTTGTAGAAAAAAATGTATTATTTTATATTGAGGAAATTGGGTTTTATGTCCATGATTTTCTTTTTTGAAAATATGTCATTTCCGGGCGTATAGAGTATCATGTATAGCAGAGCTTTAAAAGTTTTGAAATTCGAAAGTTCTCGCACTGATTGTGTCGTCGTTTTGTTTGAGAAAATAAAAGTGGCTGATTGTTATAGCATAATTACAGATGAGACTCCCGACAATTCAAGAAAAGAACAAAAATCAGTATGCTTCAGAATTACTACAGAAGACCTCACTGTTAACGAATATTTTCTCGGATTCTACACAACACCATCTACCAAAAGTGAAACATTATTCAAGATTGTTGAGGACACGTTTATTCAATTCGGTTTGTCATTTGCGAAATTAAGAGGTCAATGTTTCGATGGAGCGAAAAACGTTTCTGGAGACAAATCAGAATTGCAGGCGCGTATCCGGGAAGTGGAGTCAAGAGCCTTATTCAATCATTGTAAAGCCCACAATTTGAATTCAGCAGTTCAGGATGGGATGGAAAAAATTCAAGAAGCGAAGAGGTGAGGTCATCACCTCACTCAAAACTGTTTCTCCGGCCCTGCAGCGTTCAGTACTAAAGTTCTTAGTGTCTGACATGGTGAAATTGTTTAATTTCTTTTGTTTTTAAATTTTGACACAGTTGCAGCACTCTTCATCCACAATACATTCTTCCCGGTAAAGTTTTTTGCTTGAAAAAACATGGCAATGTTCTAAAAACAGGTTGCATCGCGGTAGTGATAATTGCTATTTTTAGAAAAAAATAATTAGAAATCACAGATTTCGCCACTTTTTTTTATTAGTTTTAAGGTCCCAAGGTAGGTTTTTTAAAAAAGAATACATTTCCTAGCCCATTTTTAGCAAAAGCCGCTAAAGCGCAACTTTACCTTTTCAGTGAGAAGGCTTTAAAACTGAGAGACCAATTTGCAAAGAAACAGACAGACTTTCACGTCTTTATTAAGGGGTTATATCCAGTTGCAAGGCCAAAAAAATAAGAGTTTTTGTAAATTATTTCTGGAGAGCCCTTTTATTGTATACTAGCTGCCCGTCCCAGCTTCGCCCGGGTTTTTTTTTAAAGTGGCAAGAACTTTGGTTGTTCATCATTTGCGGGAAGTAAAGAACCAATTCTGTGATGCACCTGTCCTTGGATGGTAAAAGTAGGTGAAAATCCACCCATTACGACCTCCTTATCTACTTCAAATGACGTCATCTGAAAGCAAGAATTATACCTTCTAATCCTGCTTAAAAACCGGCTCGATTCGTTACTGTCGTATAAAAGTAAAGATTTGAGAGGTTCCTCTGGCTCGCCAAGTAATGGAATTTTAACCTCTCCACCAGAACAGCACATACCTAGAGTTTCTTCTTTCCATCTGCATCTGCTTCACAATATCTGAATTTTTTATCCATTCTCCCAATGATATCCAATCGGTGATTAACATAGTCGATCAAAGGGTCATACTCAAAAGAGGCACCATTCAACGCCTCCCACGTTCTCATTGATAACGTTCGTGTTCTTTCTGCCTGCCGCTCAGCATTTAAAAGACGTCATCTTTGTGAATCTTCGTCAGACTCTGCCGCAAACAATTGCGCGTGACGTTCGGCATCTAAAACTCGACGTGTCTGAGTCTGTTCCACTGTCTCAGCAGGTCTTTAAGATGCGTGGCGTTCAGCATCCAGGGTCTGACTGGCCCGAGTCTGCGTATAGGTCTCAGAAGCTCTTTGAGTCGCATGACGCTGAAAATCTAACATCTGACGCGTCCGAGTCTGCTCTTCAGATTCTTGGCTTCTAGCAACTTTTGCAGCTCGAGCTCTGCTAGAAATACTGCTTAGATTGGATTTACGTTTGCGTGGCATATCGAAAACAATAACGGGAGTTTTAAAAACTACAACGTAAGACGATTTTTTTATGAAACCTTTTTACTTAAAACGTAATGCCTACTGCCTACCCCATAAGAACGATTGCGTGATTATTCCGTTTCGCCACCTGCTGTTTACCACCTAAGAAGGATGGTGTGATTATTTATAGCCTATTAGGATTTCTAGGTTATCATCTATCACCATACCAAATTTCATCAAAATCCGTTCAGCCGTTTAGGCGTGAAAGAGTAACAGACAGACAGAAACATTTTCACATTTATATATATGTATGGATATGGATATATGTGTTGTATATGAAAAGTTAGATAATTTTTTGTAGTTTCAGAAAAAAAAAAAAAAAAAATTGGATTGCGTTGATCCTGTAGAGAATCTCCTGAGGGTCCACTTAAAAAAGGTGTTTTGCGGTGAGGAAGATATCTCTTATCTAAATTATAAGAAATCCAAAAAACCAAAAGGATTACGTAAAGAATAGACAAATACTTGTAATGACGCGACGAATTTTCAAAATTTTGATATTAGACAAATTGCGGCCTCCCAAACATAAAACTTCGTTTTTGGCACAAAAATTTCAACTTTGAAGTGACTAAAAAAATGTAAATTTTTGTCGGAGCCAAAATTCCCCGCGTCATTACCTGAAAATATATCTAAGAAGAGCCTGTGAAAGTTTAAAGTCAATCGGTCAAGCCGTCTCGGAGATGGGTGTAAGGTTTTAACAAGTTTTTTTTTTCTTTTTTTTTTTAATTTTTTTTATAAAGGAGCAATAAGTCGAGAACATAATGTAAAATTTTTGTTGAGTCAATTAGAGTCAAATTAACGGAGTTACAGCGTTTTAAACAACCGAATTTGGCCGCATTTTCACGTATAAAAATACATACTTTAAATCTGTTGCAGTTGGAGTCGATTCCAGGAGGAAGGGGGCAGCGCCCCCTTTGGGCCATGAACAAGTTATTCATGTAGAATGTACAATCGCAATCCCGACTTAGGGATTCTCTTAGATGGCCTTGAGGGTGTCCATTGACCCATCTTAGAGAGAGGTTGGGGATGGCGGGAGACATTGAGGACTAGAACGGATCAACGGAACCGTGTATTAGTACAAGAAAAGACGGACGCGATAGACGTGGTAATTTAACCTCGTAGTGGTTTTGTGTAAATTTTGTGAAAAAAGTGAGTTGGAGTTTTTTTTGTGTAATTTTTCTTTTGGAAACATAAATGTTTATTTTGTTTAGGGAAACCGGGGTCCCACAATAAAGGGCCCCGGGATTTTTTTTGGCGAGGAATACATTTCTGGAGAAGTCACATTTTTTTTAGGGTTATTTTTCGTCGAAGAAAATATAACCTTTTTGTGGAGCAGACCTTTTTTCGAGAAATATAAATATTCTGGAGAGGCCACAGTTTTTCGATCAACACAGTTAATTTCTGAAGATTACCATATTTCTAGAGGAATCCATATATATTTTTGAAGAAATTATAACCTTTTCGGAGGGAACACAACTACGAAGTTTTCTGAGGAGAACGTGCGTTTGGAGAAACATTTTTGAAGAACCACGGCATCAAAGCCGAAGTCGACTCTCTAGGACTCCAGATCTCCGGTGTGTCCGTTCCGTGTCGGGGTGCCTCCGATAGTGGCCAACTTATGCGCGAACGGCTGGTACCACGAGGTTGGCCAGCCAGTCTCTATACGCCTCCAAGTTCCTTGTGGTGCAATACTCTGGTGGGCTGAGCCCAACCACCACTTCCTGAAATTGAGAAAAATCAATTAATAAAATGTGTAGTTTTTAAGAATTTAAATACCTTGTATTGTTAAGTCTATTGTGCGTTCGTCCAAAGATTCACCCTTGACCGACGGTTGCTAAAATAAAAGGGTCGCGATTAATTAGAATGAAGGAATAGAGTGTGTAAATCTCCCATACCTTTCGGCGTCCTTTCTTTTCCCTTGGAGCTCCTCAGGATTAGGTGACCTAAATTTAAGCCGAGTTAACAAGAGAGTTCTGCCGATACAAGGGTGGCAGAATAATTCCTTAATTCTTGAATTTAGCTTTGACCGCTAAAT